TATACAGTTCAGAAGGACTAATGTGTTTAACATTGAAATTTTTGAGGTTGAATCAGAGGTTTGATTGGAAGGGTGTGCAGAAGAGTTGGTAGCTGGCTTTTTGGTGGAAAATTGGTAGAAGGGGAATTTGGGGTAGTGTATCGGGTGAATTGGTATTTATGAGTAGCAGGTGGGTTAACTGGTATTTTAGAATTTTTTCTTAAAACAGTCGAGCAATAGCTACAGGCAACAGACTAATAAAGCAATCCATCAGTGCATCCGCACTTACTCCATAGACACAATTAGTAATGAAGTGAATTCCATATAGTAATCATTCACTGAACCATGCTGGAAGGGCCATCAAGTTCAATAGCTCGCGTCAGAGCTTGCCATGATGGAAACGGATGAATCTGCTGCATCATTTGGAACCAAGGAAAAACAGCTTGATCTAAATGGACTGCTGCAATGGTTTAACTGTCTCGGTCCAGGGTATCATAATAATTGAAGAACTGTTCAGCTTTATAGATCCATTCCATGGTGTGTGTCCCAACAAATTGAGGAAATTCCAATTTGACATTCTGCACCTGAAATGGTTGTTTGTCATGATCTCTGTACGAGTTCCAGCCACCCTGGTTAGAAGAATGATGGGATTGCTTGATCAAGAACTCTAAGGCAGCTTCCATGCACTCATAGCTAGCACGAGTATCAGCTGCATAGTGCATAGGCATCATGTTTCTCCATGGACTCAGCAAGTTTGGAGATGTGTGCTTCCATTGTCTTAAAGCGAGTACCATCAACCATGGAGGCAATGAAAGCACCAAACATAATGGCACACAAATGAAATGAAGATTACTGTCTTATTGAGTATGAACAGTAAAATCAACTCCTAGTGTGTAGAATTGAAGTGGTAGTAATCAATTACAGAAATAGTATTTATAGAAGGAGGAAGGAGACAAAATAACAAAAACAGAAAAGGTAGCAACCAGCAGAGAGAGAGTACAATCAGAATTGCATCACACTATCCACCCCCTCAACAATATCCTTTTCTCTCTCTTATACACCTCACCCTTCACATGTATTCTCTCCACTTAGAGTTGTTTTTTTTTTTTGGCCTATTGCTTCTTCTCAGCTTCTTGATTTGTGAATCATTAACTGCCTGGTTGCATAGCTGTCCCCTTTCACTATTTTCTGTTGAGTCATCATTCCCATGGAATATCTCATTGCCTTCCTCATTACATGCTGATTCCATCTCGGAATTTTGTTTTCGTACACTATTTCTACTAATTGAACATATGTTTAAGGCTAATTGAAAACAGCGTGATTTTCTGTGTCAGTTTTTTTATTTAATCTTTGTAATGGATTTTGTTTCTAAAAATTGGTTTATTGTCTGTGGAAAATTCGACCACTTTGTATAAATTGGTTTCAATTTCATGTTGGCAAATTATAGAGTCAATGTTTTCTAAGTCATTTTTATGCTTCTGTTTAGTGTTAGATAAGTATAATTTTCTAATTAAAGTTTCAGAGAAATAACAACCATGATTTATTGTAAGTTTCAACTACTATGCACAGGCTTGCTCTTTATCTTGTTTGATGACATTATTTCAGAGAAATAACAACCATATGATTTATTTTAAGTTTCAACTACTATGCATTTTAGAGGCTTGCTCTTTATCTTGTTTGATGAAATTATTTCATTTATGGCACGTCAAACCTTTCTTGAGTTTATGAACCAAAAGAACACTGAATCTATTTTGTCATAACAAGAAAACCTGTTTGTAAATTTGTTATGCTTTGGTAATTTTGTTGCTCAAAATCTACTTGTGACTCTGAGACTACTGATGTCATATGAAAGTTGCTTGTCTTTTGTAAAGAATGAATGCATTTCATGATCAAGGATTCAGAACCACTAAGGTTTTATTCAGTTGTCTTGAGTAGTTTGATTCAGATTCTTCAGAGTTTTCAGCTCATTGCACTATACCGATTTATGTCTTTTGGATTGGTACGTAATGTTACTTGCAGGAGGAACTTCATATGTAGACTTTTGTAATATGTAGCCACTTGTGTGTTATAGCAGCATGGTGCTTGTTAAATGGTGTTTATTTCACCAAATCAATAAATCATGCTGCACTATACCTTTTTTAGATTCTATATGGAAGATCATTTTCTAAAACCTTAAAGTTTTTTTAGCCCATTTTGCTAGTTTAAACTACTGAATACATGTTCCAAACTGAATATAGTCTTCATATTCACATAGAATAAGGATGTTTAGAGTTCATACTTTTGTGAATTTATCCCTCTTTGCTTTCTTATGTCTCTAAGAAGGAAATAAAGAGACATGCTTGATTTATTCATTTTCTTTTGATATATATTGTTTTTAATAAACAATTAAAATTTAACTGGCTCCTTCTCAAGAGGCATGACCCTTCGTTCAATTATTTTGGCTCTCTCTCCATTTTATTGGATGATATTTATGTGCGATGCCCATTAAACATTTATTGCATATTATTTTTTATATTCAATTCTTAACATTATCTTGAGCAGACAATTTTATTGACAAAGTTCTCGGCTTTATTCAGTTTGACAACAGGCCCTTCTTTTTGTAATAAGCCAGCATTGAGATCCGTGGTTCCTCCTGCATGCCCAAATCATTATCAATATGGTGAAAAGTGTTTAGCTCGTGCACTTAGAAGAGCAGGTTTAGGGAATACAATCCCTACTAATCGTAAGCTGAAGTTCCATGTAATAGTTTCTGAATTTGTCCACCAAATTCAAAAGAAACGAAAGCTTGCATTGAAGGAAACTACTCCTAAAGTTGAGACTGAATAAGAAACAAAACTAATCTTTGATTATAGAATATAATGTTGAATTCTAAAGACTTTGCAGTGTATAGAATGAATATTTTCAATATCTGAAAATAGGATTATGATTTAATGGTGAAGCATTAGGTGCAAAGAAAAAAAAAACTGTACCTTATTCAACATATGTATGTTTGTAATTTTTTCTGTCATAGTTAATCTCTTTCTTAGTCGTATTCAATGAGCAGCATTACAATATATTCAATTGTTGTTTGTTCTTAGAGGAAGAGTTCGTATATACTTCTCAAGGTTTATTCCATGGAATGGGAATATTGATCCAAAAATTTTGATTCTGGAAATCTCGCTTAATCCCGCATGGTATTCTTGGTTTGTATAGAAGAATAAATATACAAATTACATATAATTTATTTTTATATTTATTAGCTTAATGATATTTCTTTTGTGGTTCATAGATGAAAGAAGACCCGTAACAGACACTTAAGATTTTAATTAATGTGAAAATGCCAACAGAATAGGGAAATAGAATTAACAAAACTCTTTTTACTTTTTGCTTCTTATGGGCATGATGATGGTTGTTCTATTTGAACGGTGTTAAGCTTCTGAGTGGCTATCCTAGTATTGTACTGTATAGTTCCATTTCTAATAAAGAGGAGCTATTCTTTTCAAAGCCTTCCCGATGGGTTAGTTGTCCTCATCATCAGACGCAGAGTCTTCGTTTGGTTGAAGAATCATTTTCCTCTTAGCTGTTGGTGCCACAACATCCAATGGTTTAGCCTCCTTGAGAGACGGAGAAGATTGACGCTTCCTGGTTGAATGCGTCACCGGTTGTTCTCCTCTGATCTTCTTCTTTATTTTTATGGTTATTGTGGGGTTAGGGATGATGTAGCTTATAGGCATCTTTCCCATATTAGCCTTCCCAAAGACAATGGGGTGTAGTCGCTTGTTCCTCCCCATTGTCATGATCTTCTGCTTCTCATCTTCTTCAAGCGTGAAGAAGGTATGGTAGACTTTGTGATCCCAGAGGATTTTGTTAAGGAGCATGGTGTGAACCACGAACTCCTTGCAATCTTTCAAATACCCTTTCTAGTGCTGAAAGAGTGTTTGGGGTAGGTTGAAAGTGATTCCAGTCATCAGGAACAGACAGAACTTATGCATATTTGAGACGCTATCCTTGATGCCCACCTTGTGAAGGATTGACTTGTTCAGGATCTGCTGATAAATTCTGGACTTGTCGTCAAACTTGTTGTAGGCTATAGGTCCTACTTCACCCTCCTTGTGAATAGTCTTGGTGACATTGGTCAAGCCACCAGCGTCAGACATCCATTCCTTGTAGTAGATGTTGTTGGTCTTCTTGCACCCAATGGCTTGTGCGATGGTGGTAAGAGAGATTATGACATTTACATCAAGCACTTTTACCCCGAAAGATCCTTGAGAAACCTTCAATGAGTCGTAGGACATCTTCACCAAGCTAGGGTATACAACCTCCTTGATGTTGAAATACCCAAGGATTCCACAGTCATCCAAATCCTTGTAAATGGGTATTCCCCATTCTTGCATCTTGCTAATGTCAAAGTGATGCTCTAAGTACATAACTGGCTTTACCTCCATAGAGAAGGTATGAGCACAGTTAGTAGCTTCGCGCATTTCTGCGAGAATGTTCACATTTGGAGTGTTCACAGTTGCGGCGTCTTTAGCTTGTGCGGCCATTGCAGTGGAAAAGAAGGTTTGAGAGAGATTAGGGTATTGAAGTACTGAGAGAAAGCTTGAGAGTTTGAGGTTTCAGGGTATGAGGCGTGTAGAATAAGATAACGAGAGCAAGGGAAGATATAGGGTTTATGAAACAGAAAAATATCTTTGTTTTTATTTTATTATTATGATATGGCGCCCTTTTGTTTTCCTCGTGCAGAGCGACTTGCAACATGCATTTAATTTAGGGTAAAGGATCTGTCTTTTCAAATAAAAACCCCAAATGATGGTTTTGTCATTTATTTTAAACGTTTTAACCTTTAAATACAGAGAATGTTTGTCTCCGACTTCACTGCGTTCAATGATGAAGGTCATTTATTAAGAATATGTTGGACTGAATTTTCAGACGCATGGGCTGAATATCCAGACGCGAGGGATGTTTCCTAGACGCTTCATCAGACGAAGATTCTCAGACGTAGTAATTTCTTACTGCATCCTGAGGGATATCCAGACGTAGTGATTTACTATGTTTGTGTTCCTAGTGTGTTTCAGACTCAACTAGACGATGAATATATATGAATATCCTAGTGTATCTGATGTGATCTACTTTTATAACATTAAAACACGCTTCAATAAAGTAGATGATTTGATACCTGTTTTACCTGTACCAGTTGTTCGTCCTTCTTGCTTTTTGACTTCCCACTTGTCCTTCGTTCTTCTATGGATCGTATGCTACCCCTGTGATCGAGGTCGTACCCGTCAAATAAAAACAAGTTAATGTAGTACTAGGAGGCTTTCCTAGGTCGTCTCCCAAGGACCACTCTTTTCTGTCAAAGGATCAAACACAAAGGGGGTGGTTTGGTTCAGATTTATCAGTTAAAACACAATAAAATGCAAAGTAGAACAATAAGCAAAACAAGTTGACTCCTTGTTGAGATTGTAACTCTCTTATCCCTGGTTCTTAAGAGATTTCTCTTTTAACTTCCTTGTTCCATCTGAGTTAACAAACTAAGTGAAGATTAACCCAAGACTTCCCTTCACGAATTAAGCAAATGTGTACAACATTAAACCTCCCCACAAGATTAATCAAACTGTGGCTTTAACGCAACAACCCAAATTCATTAAGCATGAACATGTTTTGAAAACGTTTTAACACAGAGGTCCAATGAAAAAGAAGAAAGCGTAATAGAGATGCACAATAGCAATAAAATCTCAAACAGAGATTACAATCCGCTGAAGGAGCCAACCCCAAGGGTTTTAGCCTTCCATTAAAACAGAAATGAAAACGAAAATGCAAGGAAGAAGGAGAAGAAGAAGAAACTAGCAATCTGTATTCATTCAAACGAAAATGCAGTCTCCATTACAAACAGAAAAATAAACGTGAAGAACACAAAAAAACGTAAAGAAGAAAAAGCAAAAACGTGAAAAAACTTACGGGAAGAAGAAGACTCAAAACCTCAACGTGGTCACATCAAGTCTCTTAAGGTTGGTGGCTGCTAAGTCAGCCCTAACCTAGACCTAAGACCTAAAAACGCAAAATGGGCCCCCCTGCCCATGTGTCTGGCCCAAAATTACAAAAATGAGGTTAACAAAAATGTAAATATGTTGCTGATGTGGCGCTAACGTGGCAATGTGGTGCTGACATGACACTTTATCTCTTAAAGTCCAAAAATAATATCCAAGCCCAAAAATGATTCATAATTAACCTAGAAATAATTAATAGACAAAAATTAGACCAAGTGAATTGGAATTAATTAAAATTCGAATTACTGGACCAATGAAGCCCAAACAATGAAACTGTGCAATTACTAAGCGATTAAGCCTAAATCAATAATTAAAATAAGTACTAAAAAGATAAATAAATAAGGGAAAATAATGACTCATCAAATTCCCACACACTTAACCTTTTGCACTCCTGGGCAAAATCATGAAGCAGAGCAATGGACAAATCCAGAACAACAAAGAGAGTGACACAAAGGAGAAGATTAGAAACCAAAACAACAGCACAAAAACAGACAGAGTTACATACTCCTCAATGAATCCTGTGAAAAGAAAGGAATAGACAACATCCAACACACAAATAGTCAAAGCAACCAGATACCTATGAACATCATCCAAGTATTTCAAAACATGGCAAGAAAATTAGTTTGTTCAAGAGGTGAATCAAAAGCAACAAAATCTCACAAGATATGCATTGTATCACTATATCTCTCAAGTGTTTAGGCTACAGTATACTATCAAAGAACTCATGAAAAACAAGCAACAGATAGACTTGGCAAGCCTCTAAAATCAACACCCAACACACATGCACATAAGGATCAAAAGGTTTTTTTAGGGTTGTAACGAAGCCAAGGATAGGATAGAGGATAATATAAGGGATAAGTAACTACAAACCAGAGGAGCAATGGAGAATAAGTCAAAAATAAGCATAAGAAGAAAACCTAGAAATCTCTAATGATCGCTACAATAATCAATCCTCTTTCTCTTGCCTCAAACAACTTTTTTTTTTTTTTTTTGATTTTTTTTTTGATTTTTTTTTTGATTTTTTTAGAAGATTGTGAATAGTACACACGAAATTTTGAGATGAGATAAGACAAGATGCGCAGAGAAGTAAAAATGTACAGCATGAGGAACCAACTAGCCAATATATATCATCTAATGAAACATACACACACCCCCACACTTATTCAAGAACTTATTCCCAAAATAATTCCAAAGCTCCAAAACTCCATGAGGTTAAGGTAATCATGATTTTTCACTTAAGGCTTGTAATGAGCTTCAAACAAAGAAGGGGAAATAGGCTCAGCAGGGGTTATTAGAGGAATTAATTCAAGGTAGGCTTATTTGGCTAGAGGCTTATCAGAATCAAAATGCCATAATCCTTTCCAAACATGCATTGGACCAAGAAATATCAAACAGAGTCAAGCCAAGGATATTGTGCAAGCAATCAAGAGGTAAAACACACAAGAAAGACAGGGATTTCAATCCATAGAATATCAAGCAACTCATATCCAAGAGTGAAGTAAGTGCCTACAAACTATCAAAACCCAGAATTCAAAGAGAAACATGCAAAACTATACATAAAACCTAAACCAAAAATAACAAATAAACCCTAAAAGCATATAACCAAAATAGTTTTCCCCCACACTTAAATCACACATTGTCCCAATGTGGCACACACATAAGATCAGAGCAATTAGAAAAATCAACAGAATTAGACATGTGCAATAAAAGTAAAGAAGGAGAAAGAGAAAGAAAACTCCCTAAGTCATGGTGGTAGAGTAGCAGGGTCGAGCAGAGACATCTCCTCTATAGTTGCATTCAACAGGGAAGGATTGCTGAGGAAAGGCTTCAAACGGTGCCCATTAACTTTGAAGCTCTTATCTGTGGATTCACTTTTGATCTCAATTGTACCATAAGGAAAAACATTAGTAACAACAAAAGGTCCAATCCACTTAGAACGTAACTTCCCACCCATGAGACCCAGCCTTGAATTATACAGTAAAACTTTCTACCCAACCGTGAAGTCTTTTCTAGCTATCAAACTATCA